GTATTTTAACATTATCATTAATTTTATTAATTACTTGCTTATGGTTCAATGATTATTTATGGGTAATAATACTCGAGGAGAATAAATTAAAATTATGTTAAATGGAAACCAAATTAAAAAGATTTTTAGTGCTAAGATATTTAAAAAATCACAAAAAGTGATGAGAAGTTTTTAAGAGTAATTCAGCAAAAACCTAAAAAATAAAAATGAATACTGACTTTTAATTGCAGACCACAGAGGATTAATATCAAATATGCAAGTTTGATAAGAAGTGCGGGGAGGGAAAGTGATGAATGGAAAGGCTAACTGTTCAAATAATTTATGAATTTTCGGATTGTTTCTTTTGCTTTCAAGATAATCTTTCATATGGAGAAAACAAATATGAAATTAAAGCTTTAACTACCTTTTTACTTTTTGAACCAAACTGCTAATGAAGAATGGCAGGAGACTAACAACTAACTATGGCATTCACACACACACACATTTTATATATTTAATATAACATAAAAGGCTCAAACACTAATATTCCATGGTTATAATTTATTACATTGGAACCATAAATTATAACCATGGAATATTAGTGTTTGAGCCTTTTATGTTATATTCTTACTCTGTCCTGGTCATTCATTTCTACCTGGATTCTGTCCTCTTGGAAATTATACACACACATATATATATATATATATATATATATATATATATATATATATATATATTTTATTTATTTAAAACATATTACATTGCAACATGAAAATTTCTATGTTCCAGGACTTTCTTTTAATAGGATAAAATGTCCATCCAGTGCTTTCTGCATTCTATTGAGGATTCTTCTAGACTCGATGAATTACTTAATTAAGATTATTTAAATTCCCTAATAATTTCTATCATATATATATATATATATATATATATATATATATATATATATTTATTTATTCGGGCAACAAACTTTTTTCCAACATGTTTCACTGAATATGACATATAAGGAAAAGTTGAAGAGATTTTTTTTATCTATTTAGTTATTCTAATCTTCTTACATTGTTTTCCATTTGGTGAGAGTAAGGAAGTGTAATAATTGTCTGTAGTGTCTATTGTCCCAAGCATTTTCATCTACTTCTTTAGCCATTTTTAAGGGGTTTTGTTGTTAAGTGTTGTTAATTTCTTTTCATGATTGTCTCTAAGATGTATTTTTTATGTAGTGTCTGAATAGTAGTAGTTTTATTCCAAGCCTCGCAAGTTGAGCATGGCCAGAATTCTATTTTAACAAACCTTCAATGCACCATTTCCACTGTTGAATAAGGTGAGATTTATGCTGGGTTCCAGATGTTTTATGTAAAGGCCTCTCTCTCATATTGAGATGTCTTTGGTTACACTCATTTACACCCACCAAACAAAAAAAAAAAAATAAAATAAAATAAATAAAAGTAAAAATATTAGAAAAAAAAAAAAAATAAAAATTCATCAAACTTTCCTTGTCTGTGTCATATTGCAGTTGCCTTGATAAAGTTCTTAAGAGGACGAAATGTGTCAGCTAAGAAGAGTTTTCGTTTTGCCTATATATATATATATATATATATATATATATATATATATATATATATATATAAGGAATGGATTAAATCTAACATTTTCAATTTGTTTAAAGGTTATTTTTAAATGGATACTCATATTTAAGTAGATGCTCTGTTTTTATTTATTTATTTATTAAACAGCATATTTATTTCTTTACATCTACTGAGCTGAATATTTTGAGAAACCTTGTTAGAAAAATATACACCCTCTGGCAGGATTTGAACCTGCGGCACTAGGGAAAACCATCATTAGATCTGATGTGCTCTAGACCACTCGCCCACATTTAAACAAATTAAATTAAAAATGTGTGTGTGTGTGTGTTTATATGTGTGTGTACATGTATAGATATATGTTTATGTGTGTATAAATATTTGCATGTCCATACATGCATATATATGTATAAAATTTCAGATGTAACTAAAAAATATATCAGATTAAAGACAAAAAGAAAACTTATCTTCACTGGTCCATTTAGTCTTCTGAGGACGAAACATATCAGCTAAGATAAGTTTTCCTTTGCCATTATTCATAAGTGTATAGGCATACATGTGTGTGTGTGTGTGTATATATATATATATATATATATATATATATATATATATATATATATATATATATATATCAATCATTTTCTTTTGATTTCTTGACACTGTTCTGTACGTTTGTGTTTTTTTTTTTACATTTATAAATAGTCTTTTTCTACAGGTTAACTCTGAAAAATTTATATATATATATATATATATATATATATATATATATATATATATCATCAATATATGTACTAACAAGCAGTGATAAAGATATGCTGATAAAGATCATGCCATCAATGTCAATAAATATATTAATGGCAAAAATGACCCTTGAACTTATGAATGACAAACAAACTGTCTACCAATGAATCAATGAATGTATACCATAATCAACCAATTTCTGTTGTGTGCGCACACACATATTCATCCATATGTGTATACATACACAAATGACAGAGTAGGCATATGAGTGTCCAACCGTGAATGTAACGATACCACTGGTCAATTGCATACCAGTGAACCACAAATATATACAATCTTTACAAGTTAGAAAAGGTCAAAAGTCGGCTGGTAAATAGCTTTACTTTTTGGTTTCTTCTCCTGAAAAGTCATGTTGTAATCAGTGCAACACTCGATTATAAATCATTTCAAACAACCAAAACATTTTCTTTTTTGAGCAAAGTCAATCAACGTTGTTTTCTTTATTGTTTCTGTATGCATTTCTTACTAGCATCATCCAAAAGATGATACTTTCAAAATAAAAAATAAAATAAAATGTTTGTATGTCTGTCCACCCATTCATTCATTCACTTACTTACTTTTTTCAAACACAAACACAAACACGCACAAAATAGGCCAAAAGTTTAGGGTTAACTTTTGGATTTTGAAGTATTGCCTAAAAATTGAAGTTTGAGTGCTTTTGTAAAACTAATTTGCTAGCTCACCTCAGGCGAGAGGGGATTTTTTCTGAAGGGTTTTTTATCATATATCCCATAATAGTAATAATAACAACAACAACAAAATCAACACCTTACTGCATAAAGATTCTCAATTGCTGGCTAACAGTAATCTCAGGGCTGGTGAATTTAGGTACCTCCTTTTCTAAAAAAAAAAAAAAAATGCCAAGCACTAATCAGTTAAATGGTTTCAGTATCAGAGCTTAGTAGGTGTTAATTAAAACAAAGAAGGAAACTTACTAATTAGTAAATCCAAAGAAAGGCCCGTAACTTTTGGCCTGTAATGCATGTGTTTTATATATATTTACACACACACACACACACACACACAACTACCTTACAAACAAAACAGTCAAAATGGAGCATCTTACCCATGAACAAGAAACGTAATCTCTAAGAGTTATGTCCCTTCAAATCCGGCTGAGGTTGTATTAATCAGATGGAAATCTTTTAGCCATCAAAATGGGACCCACTGAGGACTCAAATTTGGCCTCAAATGACCCTGTTATGCTGTTCACTGACAATTTGCTTTTCAATTTATTAGACAAATATTTAAGAAAAAAAGAAAAATAATCCAAAAGTTTAGAGAATATTTTTACACACAAACACGCGCGCGCACACAGAGAAAAAATATATTCATATTTGTTAAAATTATTTAAATTATCCATAATAAAGTATGATTTCAAATAAACTGACAAAAAAAAAAAAAATTAAATGGTAATTAGAAAATATTTAAAAAAAATTAAAAACAAACAAAATTGATTTAAACTTCAACCTCTCTTTCTTTCTATCAAACAATCCTCTTTTTTCCTTTCTGTTTTTTTTTAAAGATTCCAGTGGTCAGCTCAACTGACCAATGTTCCTGGTTGAATTCACAATAATCTTGGTCAACATGGCAAACGCAGAACAATTGTTTAAATATTGTCACAACATCAAAGGCCTGAGGCATTCTTACCCATAATCGTTTCTTTTTAAAACCCTCTTTATCGTGACTTCTTTGTAAATCCCCAGACAAAAACAGACACACTACCGTAACCTTTAGCATTTGATACTGGTAAAAGTTGCTTTTGCTGCTGCTGTTATTATTATTATTATTATTTTTATCATCATCATCATCATCATCCTCCTCCTCCTTCTGTTATTCTTACTGTACAATGTATTTGTGTTCGCTTCTGTTATTACAGAAAATGGAGTTTATTTCTTTTATTTTAATTTTTTAAATACAATTTGGGTTTGTTGTTTATTTTATTTTCCTCCCATTATTTGCTTTATGGATTTCTTTGTAAATCCAGGTGGTTTCTATTTCTTCTTTCTCCATGAAGCATTTCATATTTCTCTGCCCATAGCCTTTTTTTTTCTTTTTCTTTTTAAAAAAAAAAAAAGAAAAAAAAAAGACCTGCCAGTCCATTGACCATAGGAGAAATTTAATTCCTTTTCATTGCAAACAGCAAATCACTTATGATTATTTTAAAAAAAAAAATTAAAATCTATAAACACAAAATACAATTCTGATATCATTATTGGCATCGAAATTGAATTTCATACAAGAAATCTTCATTTAAATATTCTGCAATAATTTGGATTTATTTTCTGCAGAGATGTTTCTAAAATGACAAAAATTACAGCCACTAAAGAAACTTCTGCACAAAAAACTGAAAAAAAAGATTTTAAAAATGTCAGAATAATGGTAAACAAGCACAGATGTGGCTTGCATCTGTTATGCAACTATTTTTTGTTCTTTGATTTAGATTTCGCATGTGATATCAATTTTGGCCAATTAACAATTTCAGAAGTATTTTCCCCTCATTCAGGAATAAAATTAGGAAAATAAAGATGTGTTTGCTGATTGAAAGAAAGAAAATTTACCATCCCTTTTAGAATTATTGGTTTGGTTTGGTTTTTCATTTGATCTTTTTTTTTTTTTTTTATTTCCCCCCCCTCTTCAAAGGACTTGACTAGCCGCACTTTGACTTAAATATATAATGGCTCCAACAAAGTTCACTCCGGCTGCAATGATAAAAACAGGAAACCATCGGCCATGTGACTGAGTGACCAATTCTGCAGTTAAAGGACCGCACGTTATTCCAGGAATGGTCGCCTGAAACACAAAAAGAAAGTTTTAAAAAGATAAAAATTTTAAAAACACCTGAACAGGTGTCATGAAAAAATACAAGCAAATTGAAAATAACTGACACCCTAAAATGTACTTTAATTTGTCAAGAGAAAGCTTCAATTAGAAACTTTTTGTTAAAAGGAACGATATTGAAATAATGCTTTATTTAACTGAAAGCTTTACTGAAATTTGATTTGTTTGTTTAACAGCATATCAACACTTTATGGGTCATTTAATGCCGAAATTTAATTTTCTCAGAAACTTTGAAGTAATAAAAATATGATAATAGGTATTGTTGGTAATTTTATTATAAATACATATTTTTAGTGAATTTTTTTTTTTTTTTTTTTTTATAAAAATGAATTTCTGGTATTTTTACTATAAAAATGTATTTATATATTTTCAGAATATTTTCTTTTTATTTGGGGGGGGGGTCCTTATTTGCCCACAGCTACTACCCCAAGTCAAGGTATAGTAGGCCCAGCAGTGGAAATTGCCCAAAAAATCACTTTTCTATTTACCTTCAACAACTAGATGAAATTTCTGATCAAACAAAAGAGAAATTAGTCTGCTAGCATGTGTAGAAGTGATTTTATGATAATTTAAAGTTCTGGAAATCTGTAGAAAACAGTCACTTGACATTTGGTCAATTTCACATGTCCATAAAATTGACCTGGTCATAAAACCCCCCAGAATTTTCAGCAGAAATTACTGGAAGACTATTATTGCTATTTTTTATTAAGCTGAGACATCTTGAAAACCAAGAAAAAACACTTAATGTAATAATTAGGAACATTTTTTTCTGAAAATTTAACCAAATTTTAAGAGAATTAAGCCTAAAAGTTGTCAAAAAATGGTAAATTTTTGGCTTAACCTTACTGGATTTATCCTCATATTTGTGTAAATATCTCAAAAAGGGCAAGGAAGTATATACTAAACCTTATATATTTTTGGAAAGTACATTCTATCCAGAAACAGATTCAGTTAAGTTCTTTATGTGCCACCCTTGCCCTTTTTTCAAAAGCTGAATCCAACAATTTTCAGTCAATGTGGTGTAAATGATAAAACTATTAACTCTCACGCAAGGCTTCTACTGCCAAAGAAATTTTATGCTATCTTTGTAGAAGATATCTTCCTTGATTGAATACTACAGTATGAATGAATACTTGATTGAATACTGAATTTATTGGGCCTTGATTAAATACTGTATGTAATTCATTATATTTTCGTTCAGTAATGAAATTCTGTTCTTCTCAGTCGCAAACAATTTCTATTTGTTTTGGCTTTACAAATCTCCAGTTTGTTGAATGTTTTGTCTGCCTACTAACCACACTTCAAATGATGTTTTGGTGAAATTTTTCATTAGATTTCATGTTATATCATAGTAGGACCTAAAGGGAAAATTTTTCAAAAACTGGTAATTTTGGCTTAAAACTAGTATTTTCCCAACACCTCTACAATTGACTAAAACCCTTTTAGCAAGGTCCTATAACATGAAATTAAGTATCTTTCATCATGAAATAGTATTCCATGTCACTAATTACTTTTTTCTCATTAGATTTCTGACCTCGAGTACCCTAGTAGCCATATTTCTACAAATCTGAGATCTGGGTCCACTGTGCAAGGTGGACCTGGGAACAACAACATTTAAGAGGTGGTTCCATGCTCCTCAAAACCTTCAATCTCCCAATCAGAGGCCTTGCTGCCGGATGTAGTTTATCATCAGACCCAGCATGATGCTTTACCAAGAATTTCATTATTAAAATTCAGAGCTCGAAACATGGGCAACAAACTACAGTGCATTGCAAAAGTCTACACCGCCTTGAAAACTGGAGGTATTTTGTTTATTTTGATAGGAAAAAATTAATATTTTAAACTCCAATAATTTGTTTTAATAAGCAGATCTATTACACTTTTATTTAATACACAAAATACATTTGAAAAATTTAAAACTGATTCTTAAACAAAGATAATTTTGAAAAATGTCTTTGCAAAAGTCTACAACCCTTTGGAATGTCTTCAACTAATACTTTGTGGATGATCCTGCTGCATCAATTACAGCCTACAGACGCCTTGGTAGCCTTCTACGAGCTTGTTGCAGTGGTCTGCTGACAGTTTTTGCCATTCTTCATGGCAGAGCTTCTCAAGCTGTGTCAGATTGATTGGGGAACGTTGGTGCACAGCCAGCTTTAGATCTCACCATAAATTTTCTATAGAATTGAGGTCTGGAAACTAGCTGGGCCACTCCAAAACTGATTTTCTTCCTAGCAAACCAAGCTTTAGTGCTTTTTGACACATGCTTGGGATCAGTATCTTGTTGAAACTTGCCATTGTGACCCAAGCGCAGAGCTCTAACAGACTTCAGCAGGTTTGCCTCCAATATTTCTTGGTACTTGACACTGTCCATGACTCCTTGGATGGTTACCAGCTCTCCACGCCCTGCCGCTGAAAAACAGCCCCAAAGCATGATTGAGTCATCGCCATGCTTTACAGTGGGGACGGTGTAATGAGGTTGGTGAGCAGTGCTTTTTTTTCTGCCAAATGTAGCATTTCGTAATTTTTCCAAATAACTCGACTTTGGACTCATCTAACCACAAAATCTTTCACCACATGATCATGGAATCATTGATGTGACTTTTGGCAAAGTTTAGCCTAGCTTGTTTGTGCATAGGCTTCAGAAGGAGCTTTTTTCTAGCTACCCTCACTTGCAGGCCAGACCGATGCAATACTCTGGAAATTGTAGATGCATAGACATCTGTCCCAGTACTGGAAACTGAAGCTTTCAAGTCTTCCAATGTTGCACTAGGGTTGGAGGTTGCCTCCTGGACCAGTTTTGATTTTGCTCTTCTGGTAAGTTTGCTTGTTCTCCCAGATCTTGGTAGGGTAGCAGTGGTTTTGTGCACTAACCACTTCTTAACTACAGTTTTAACAGTGCTTAGGGCCAATTCTAAAGTTTTTGCAATCTTTTTATAGTCATTATTTTCATTGTCCTTTTGAATAATAAGGTTTTTAAGTTCCCAAGACAGAGGCTTGGCCATTTTCTTTCCCCAAGTTGGACACCTTGTGTTTACAGTCAGAATCCAAAGACCAACATACCAAGAAACCATGTGGTGGATGATTTTGTAGGCAGTTAAATCACCTTATATAGCAAAATAATAGACTGGCCAAGATTGTTTGTTATGGTAGAACGCACATGTCACTTTTGATTGTTCTGGATTGTAAGCATCAATGACAAACTACGTGATAACACAGTATAATATCTGGGGGGTGGGTAGACTTTTGCAAGCCACTGTAGCTAAGAAAGATTTTAATATTCTTACTTTTCAAAATCCCTGAAGTTTTAAGTAAATCAGGAATGAAAAATTTTACAAGTATTCAGTTGTCCAAAAAGTTTCCTCAGTCTATTCAGTAAAAATAACAGAATTTTTTTTATTTTTTTCACAATAAATGTATGAAACAACATATCTACTAATTTTTTTGTTCTACTATGCTCTGACATTTTTCAGGTAATTTCTTAATTTAATCCACCCAGAACATTTTATCTTTCTCAGCTCTAGCTGCCTTTTGCAACCTTCCGCAGAAAAGAAATTTTATTTCAAATAATACAAGTTTTATAAAGAGCAGAATAACTGGTAATCCAATGTAATAAAACAGGTGAGTTGTAATAATATTTTTACCTGGTTAACAAAGAAACCTACAACCTTGTTGTTAACTTAGGAATTTTCTCCAGATTTTTATTTATTCCTCTTTTTTAACCAGTCTCTAGCAATTTATACAAAACCTTAAAAGAAATATTTCTGTTGAAATTTATTGGATTAATACAGACAAAAGCTTTATACACAAGCATCCATTTCAAGTACTGTAATTCCCTATGTATAATACACCTTCATCCATAATATGCACCCTAAAAATTGTGCTGAAAGTGTGAGAAAATGATTCTATTCATGCATAATACACACCCCGTGTTTGGTAATCAAACCCTATAAATTGTACCTCTCCAATTTCATTACAGCCAGCGTTTCCTACTCTTATTCAACCTGTATTTGAAGATATTTATCAAAATTTCCAATCATCATGATTCTAAAAGGAAACGGAAATACATATATTGTGCCTACTGCGCAGACTCATTAACCTTTTTTTGTTGAATAAAATGTGCAATCTACCAGATCTGTATGTAGTTTTTCACAAAAAATGGTTTTAAACATAGAATAATATTTTTCTAATTTAGTTTTAAGATAATTCTTATTTCATTTTACATTTCTAAGTATTGTTAGATATATGATTGTATTTGACATCCTTATGGGGTTGCAATCACCGAATGTTAGTGTTAAATTGTCGTATGGCTGTGGTGAGTAGTCATTTTGCAACTGAAATCGACCCATGAAACAGCAATTTTTTAAAGATATTTTGGAGCTGTGCATAATTCACACCCGTAATTTTGATTATTATTTTTTTTAGAAAAAAAATACTTATACATGGGGAATTACAGCATATATTTATTAAACTTAGCACAGCAAAGGTCACAAAAGTGGAGTATCCATTAAAGGTCAGACACACTATAACATCTGTGAAATTAGTTTGTTAATAGAAGTGAGTATTTATTTTTAACTGGAATTCTCAAAGCCCCAGGGTCACATCACTTCCCATGCAATGTCAGTTAACCTTAATATCTACCCTATTTTGAATTGTGGTTTAGTCATTTTTTCTTAACATTATCCATGTAACTAAGATTCCTCTTCTTTGAAATCTATCTTACAGATCCTCAATTATATGCACTTCTCACTTCCACCTTGTACACACTTACAACAACCTCATTCTGTAATTTTCTAGCTTGAGTGGCCCTTGGGCCTTGTATTGGGTGAACAGTTGTAATAAAAATAAAAACAAAAATGTCCCTTCCCAGGGAAGCCAAGTAAGGCAAACAACATAAGTTAGACGCAAATAAACAATAAGCATTTCGCACACACAGTCGGTCTGTGTGTTTGCGAGTAGAAGTTTATCTCTTGTAAGATGGAATGACAATTTTTTTTTTTTACTGTTATTTCACCCAATACAAGACCCAAGAGCCACTCAAGATAGAGGGTTACTGAGTGACATTGTAAGGAAGGGGAAAGTAAGAGAACATTATGAGGATAAGCAGGATATATATCGGTTGACCCTGGACTTAAAATTGTAGTTATCAGGGAAACATTCTTTCAGGAGTTTCTTTCAGAAGTACCAGGGAAGAAGCTGTTTGAGTGGAACTTGCTTTTTATCAAAGTAACACAAAGGGAATGCAGACGGTTTTATTTGGTCTTTTCAGCATTGGTTGTGAATCAGAAGGGCTTTTCTATATGGCAAATGGCATTCTGTGGATAGAAGTCTAAGGAGTAAATGTATTCATACATGAAGCCCAACATAAACTATTAAAAATTTATCTAATTATGTTTTTGTATTTTAGAAAAATAAACTGGGAAAGATGAATATTAGGTAGAAGAAAAAAATAATAGAAAGACAGACAGACAGAAAGGAGCCATTGATTATGTTCCTAAGTTTCAGGACCAAGGTTTGGCTACTTACCAAAGTATTTGATACAGCAAAGGTGATACCAGCATGATTTGGAGCTACTTCTGGGTGGTTGCTTAAATGACCTGCGGAATTACAAGCACTCAGACCGAGGGAAATGGACACAAACCTGTGAGGAACAATAAGATATCACAAATGAGTAAAGACATATCAAATCATTTTAGAAATTTAGACAACTTCTTCTACACAAATGTAACAATGAAGCATAGAAGACAAATATACGAGGAGCTTAAAAGAGTTTTATAAATAAAATTCATTCAGCTTCTTTTAGTTTATCTTTCAAACTCTTTAAAATTTATTGGAATGTATTTCTATTAGAAACATTGCATGTTCAACTCAGACACACAAGCAGAGGAATATATGAGTGGACACTGATAGTCTGTTTCATGCTTGTTTGTTTTGTTTTACAGCATATCAACCTCAATGGGTCATTTAATGCTGACAACCTTTTTTTTTCTGGTAATATTTTTTTTGTCAAAAATCTATTTCTGTTAATATTGTTTTCCTCAAAAATATATAGCTGGTAATATTATTTTTTCAAAAACGTATAGCTGTTGATATTTTTTCAAAAACGTATTGCGGGTAATATTTTTTTTCTTCAAAAATTTATTTCTGGTAATAATTTTTTACGAAGTATTTCTGGTATTAAAGCCTATTTTTACACTTTTATAATGCTTTTTACCTCAGTTTCGGAGTTTGCCCATAGCTGGGACCCTAACAGGTGCTACCACTCCGGGTCAGGGTGGACCTGGGAACATCAGCAATTAAGAGGTGGTTCCACTCTCCTCAAAAACTCCTGATTAGAGGCCTTGCTGTTGGATATAGTTTATCATCCTATGTGGACATAGTTTATTGTCATACCCCGGATGCTGTTTCATGCTTGAACATAATCTTCAGGCCATGTGTGTTATATTGTGGCTCAACTATTTATATATGCTGATCAATGGTGTATCATGAGTAGCAGGTTCTATTGTAGTATACTGACAGTTATTAGGGAGGCTGTAATGATTGTTTCAAATTATTCTAGAGGTTATTGAGTAGGAATAACTGTGAATCTGAATGAGGTTATTTGCAACTATTTTATGTTGTTAACACATTATTTATTACTTAATTATTTGTTGTTGATTATTATTATAATTACATTTACTTTATATTTATATGTGTATTCGTAGTTTATTAATTTTTTTATTATTTAATTAAATCGTTTACTTATTTTTGATTTTTTTTGTTTATTTATTTTTTTCCGGGGGTTGGTTATCATATTTGTTTAATTTAAAGTATGTTACATTTTCTGTGTTGCATAGAGTGCATATAGCTGCATTTTTTATGGTGGCATTTTACAATGCATTAACTTTCACTTTTCAACTTTTAAGTAACGTAGTAAAAATTTACTTTCGTGTCTGCATTTTGAGATAAGTTCTGATCATTTATTTAGTAATTTGTGTTATAGCTTCTTTTTTTTTTTTTCTTCCAGACAGATTTTACAGAGTTTTTGGTTTTATTGTTATAGGCTAATGCATTTTTTTATTATTATTTTCCATGATATTTTTGGATTAATTTAATTTTTGTGTATAATTTCTCATATGTTTAGAGAGCATTGTGCTGTTGGCATATTTACTATATATAAAGTATGTTTTCTGTAAGTAATTTCTCTACTTCCAGGATCCTTTGGTTACTCCTATGTATAATTTTGCTTTGTTGTCTGCTGATTTTACACTGGTTTGGTATGTTATATAGTTATTTTCAGAATCCATTTTATAAATCTACCACTCATCTATGCATTGGATATTGCTGTCATAACTGGTTTGGTGCTTCTGCTGTATCTCTCAAGATTCAACAAAATCTTGATAAGTTATCAAGAGGAATTAACTAAAACTAAGATATCCAAAGGCATGGCATGTGGAATTAGAACAATCTACCTATGTAGACTAAATAAGGGTTTCAGTTTGAAATTCTAACAAATATCACCTGAAGAAGGCTGGAGTGTACAACAATCGAAACATTGCGAATGTGACAACAAAGATGAGGACAACAATATGAACAATACAAGTAATGTAAATAGTTTACAATACCTCGCCTCAGAAATATAGACAAACACATTCTAGTCAAAGACTTTTCTGTGTTGGGCTGGTTCTCTTCCCCATCGATATCAATTACACTACTGACAAATCCTTTATAAAGTTTTTATTCTCTTTGCTGTGATCAGCAATTGAACTCATGGACTAAATAAAGGGTTCAGTTCAACAATCAACAAAGCATAGCTTCATAAAATATCACACAGGACATGGTGCTGCATCATTTTGTGCGACAAAAATGATGGTGTTTATACAGAGCTTCTCAATGTGTGACAGCATCAATGAAAGTGAATAAAACTGAATCCAGTACATGTGCTTTGTATTAGTTAGGGGGTGACAAGACTTTCAGAACACCCTGTACAATAGTAACAACACCTAGTACCAGAAATTGAGATTAACATTGGGATCTTGCTCCAATTTTACTCACTTCTCAATCTTTCAACTTAGGGACATGAATTAATAAAATCCAGTCCCAGGGGACATTTCTCCCAGGCAATGAGAAAGGCCTATGATTAATCCCTGGCACCAAAGATGTCCCCAAAGACAAAACGCTGAGGAACTGGACTATTTCTGACCTCCAGTCCCATGTACATGTAGGATTCCCACTTTAAACTCAGCTTTGTGCCATAAGTGGTCAGATTAATAAACCTGATCTTGTATAATTCTGTAAAATAAAATGTCAAATCATGAATAAAAATAAAAATGTAAAATATACTATATTTTTCAGGTTACAAGACGCACTTTTTCCCTGAAAAATAAGTGTGCGTCTTCCAAGACGAATGTAAGGTAAAACCCAGGATAAAAAAAAATAGGCTTGTACGGTCACTTAATTGGCTTGACTAATAGGGACCTGAATTTATATGTTGAGTCATTACACTATAATCTTAGCTATCTATCTAATTCAGCCTTTTATATGGTGTAACCTCAGTACTTAGCTGTTACAAGTATCTCCAAGACTATAAACCTTCCTGGAGCCGAGCCACAAGCTTAAACATGCTCTGTTTACTAGCAGCGGCGGGAGCCTTTCTCCTCTTGACTAGTATGTCATTGCCATACAAACAAAATCGGACGAGTGATTAATGTAAACAATACGTAGTGCCAGTATGTGAGGGATGCATGGTGAATGTGTTGACTTCTTGTCTTTTAGAAATTTTTTTCAGTATTAGGGAGCATCTTTTAAGCTAGAAAATACAGTAATTCGTTTTTCTTTTTTGTTATGGAATGGACCCTTATAGAAGAAAAAGTTTCCCTGTCTTCACTTTTCTGCAAATATATTCTTTAGAACCATTGACTAGATTTCTATCTCTACACAGAAAAAAAAAAACAAGTACCAAAACTTTTTTTTTTTTTAATGATTTCACCCCAAATAAGGCAATAAAAGCCACTAAGATACAAGGTGTCTTAATCAGTGTGAAAGAAACAGAGAGGACAATAAAAGAACATGATTCAAGGAGACGGAAGGGGGACAATAAAAGAACATGATTCAAGGAGACGGAAGGGGACAATAAAAGAACATGATTCAAGGAGACGGAAGGGGACAATAAAAGAACATGATTCAAGGAGACGGAAGGGGACAATAAAAGAACATGATTCAAGGAGACGGAAGGGGACAATAAAAGAACATGATTCAAGGAGACGGAAGGGGACAATAAAAGAACATGATTCAAGGAGACAATATTGACATTGCATTTAAATTTTTGAAGGTCATAAGCAACTGAAAAGCAAGAAACCAGAAAATAGTATGAAAGAATCACATCTGGTGATAATTCCCTTGTCAATGAAAGACTTTTCATTAAAATATAGAAAAGACCAAAGCCAAGCATATGGACTCGAGAATCCTTTCAAATACTTGAAATGTTACAATTTTTAACCTTAAATAAAGATGAGGACAACTGAGCAAAGCCTCTTCAGAACAAGTCAAAACTACTGAAAATAGTAGACATATATATATATATATATATATATATATATATATACTTATATTTAGTAGATAAATACAAAGATGAGTGTGTCTAACTAACAGAGTTTCCATATTTGCCTATCAGTTTCACACTTGTCTATGTAACAATGTTTTATTTGTAAAACTGCAGATTCCTAAGGCAATGCCTGATGCTTCCTGATAGAAAACAATGGCTGAATATGATGTTGCTGCTATAAAGATCATTTTAGTGAGGACATTTTTTAGCTTTAGTAGCTTTAATAAGCATCTGCAACTGCCCACCTTTTTCCAAAGAGATGGAACAGGATTATTATGACAGATAGCAGAGGAGAATGCACATAAATGATTTAGAAAGAGAAGTGTAACATTGTGGGTTTAGAATAAAGGAGAGTAAGTGGGGGTTATAGATGAGGAAAATAAAATTAGCTAATTAACAGTCACATAGGTTATTGGAAATATATTCCTGAAATACAATATATTTAACAGGACCAGATTAGAGCAACAACAAAAAAAAAAAGAAAAAAAAGTGTGTGTTAAAAAAAAAAAAAAAAAAGGATGTAGAAGTCCTTTCATTGGTCCTTAAATTGACTAATCAAAAACAAGAAAGAAGGTGAGGTGTCCTGGTAAAAAAAAATCAAAAAAATCAGTTCCTTCCCACAAGATACTTTAGTGATCTTTTGGACTTGGTAGCAAGCAGAAAGCCTAGAAAAGGTTGATGTAGGGGAGTTCTCTCATTCTGTGCTCTCTCCATCACTGACAAGTGATCAGTAACATTTCCCTGCTGGAGGCAATAAAATCTGGCCAATACAGACTCTACATATTATCCCATTTATTATTACAAGCAAACCTTCCACCTGGTGAAAAGATGGCTTTTGATTTTCAGTGAGAAAATGAGACAATGCATCTTTGGGGTATTGGCCTGAAGACAGTTAATGTGACCCACTGCAAAGTGATGACCCTAGCACACCAGACACTAGCGAACCAAAAAGGAAGTAGCAACAATGCTACAGAGGAATCAGTAAACACTTTGCTTTTTTTTTCTATTTTTATAATTCATTGTATCTACAATGTGAGTAGTAATTATGATGGTCACTA